AACAGGGCAGGGCGGGCGGAGGGAGCCGTTATGGTGCCCTCAGTCCTGTTCCCAGAGGCTCTGCTTCTCAGAACCCCCGGAACCGCTGCAAACCTCGGAGGGAAAGCTGCCTTCCAACTGATGCCAGACACTCCCGCTTCTCCCGTTTGGGTCCGAGTCCCCAGCGATTCGCCCGTATCTGGAGCTCAGAGTCTGAGACTCCCCCCTGACCGAAAACGACAACCGCGCTCTCAGCCACCAGCCCGCTTTGCGCGCGCACCTCCGCACCTGAGTTTTTTCCACACTGCGCCTCCTCTGAGCCTCGGTGTGCTGTTATTTTTCCTTCTAGTTGAAGAGTCTCTCCTCAGCCAGCCTTCCTGTGGTTCTGGGTGATGTCCGTTCCGTCTTTTAGTTGTATTTTTGAAGTGGTTGTTTGCGGCAGCAGTCTCCGGTGTTTACCTATGCCGCCATCTTCGAGATTTCAACATTGGATCTCTTTCTATCTCTGGCTTTGAATTCATATTGTTAAAATAGTGCACATTCTTATTTTGCTGTATAGCCACCACTGTTAGTGTTAATGGTAGTTTTCACCATAGACAAAACAATTTTTATCTGAGCTGGGCAGCCTTTAGAATTGCCCATTGCCTAAATAGGCCCTTATCCCACACTCTTGAATAAAACTCCAACTATAAGTGCCCTAAACTTGTAAGGAATTATGAGAGTAGGGAATGACCTAACTCTTGGACAACTGGGCCTTAGACAATTATTTTTCTCAAAGAAATAAGTAGTTTAAAGTAAATGTTACTGGATCCTTCCTGCCTTTAATTGAATAAACAGGTGATTAAAATAAAAACACCTGAAAAATGAAACTTACTGCTATACTGTGATTAATCATTGCAACTCTGTAGTTTTTCTATCAATAAATTAAAGTGATTAATTCACCTTTTACATTAATGTATTTTCAATTGCTTTCTTCTTGTTTTCTCAACACCAAAGTCTATGGCTGTCTTTTAAGACTATATTCATCCTTCATCTTCTCCATCAATCATTCATTTAGTTACTATTTTGTTATAGCAAGTACAAGGTTGAACTGATATACCAAACACTATAGACCCGTGGTCGGCAAACCGCGGCTCACAAGCCACATGCGGCTCTTTGGCCCCTTGAGTGTGGCTCTTCCTAAGCCTTAGGAGTACCCTAATTAAGTTAATAACAAAGTACCTACCTATATAGTTTAAGTTTAAAAAATTTGGCTCTCAAAAGAAATTTCAATCATCGTACTGTTGATATTTGGCTCTGTTGACTAATGAGTTTGCCGACCACTGCTATAGACCAATAGAGATGGCCAACATTACAAATACATATAAAATTTCCATTATTATTTCAGTAATGCTAAGTATTAAGATGCTATGGAAACCTATAAATAGGGGGGCCTGATCAAGTCAGAGAGAGCAAAGAAGGCATCCTTGAGAAAGGGACCCTTGATCTAAACTCTATAGGACAAGTAGGTCTTAACCAAAGAAAGAAGGAAGCAAAAGTAATCCATGCAGAACAGCACAAAGGCTCTACAGTGAAAGCGAACATGTTAGACATGAGGAACTAAACGAAAATTCAATGTGACTGAAATGAAGGGGACTGAATAATGTACAAAGAAACTAGGGAAAGAGAGACAAGCTCTATAATCATGAAAAGGTTAGAAGCAAGAGACTAATATGATTGAATCTGTGTTCTATAAAGATGACTATGACTGCAATAGATTTGAAGAGGGCCGAAGTGGTGTGTGAATTAGGAGGCTATTAAACTAGTTCAGGGAAGAGAAATCATAGGTAAATCAGAATACAGGCATAGATTTCATTGTGCTTCACAAATATTGCATTTTTTACAAATTGAAGGCAAGATCCTCCATAAGCAAGTATCACTTTATTGTGGTGATCTGGAACCAAAACCACCATACCTCCAAGGGATGCCTGTATAAACTACAGTGGAGGAAAGGTAGATCGATTTTTAAAGTATTTAGATAAAATGAATAGGTTTGGGCGACGAATTGTGTACGGGAAGTGTATTAGTTAGCTATTGTTGTGTTAAAAAATTACCTTAAAACTTACCAGCTTACAATGAATATAATTTCTGTGGGTCAGAAATCAGGGTACAATTAGTTGAGTGCCTCTGACTCAGGCACTGATTATCATAAGACTGCAGTCAAGGTGTTGACCAGGGACACAGTCACTTCAAGGCACGGTTAGGAAAGGACTAATGTGGCTGTTGACAGGCCTCAAGTCCTCAAGGAACATTACTTCCATGCTACATGAACCTGTCCAGGGGGCTACTCTCAACACATCAACGTGCTTCCTTCAGAGTGAGGACAGAGAAGGGGAGGGAAATCAGATAAAGTGGGTGAAAGAAGGCAAGCAAGAAAATCAGTCTTAGAAATGACATCTCAGGACTCTTGCCATTTTGTATTCATTAGAAGTGTCACTAGGTCCAGTTCGCATACAGGGGAGATTACAGAGGCATGCAATCCAGAAGATGGAGCTCAATGGAGGCCTTTTTAGAAACTGCCCACCATACAGAGTGAGGAAGAGGAGACACTGTTGTATTAATAAGAATGGGAAGAATGGAAAAGGCCCAGGTTTGGAGAAGTTCTGTATTGGATGGTGAGTTTGAAAGGACAAGATGCCTTTAATTCAATCAACAAATTTGTTATAACATCCCTTCTATGTACCACACATTACTGTAGGAGATGAGATATAATGATGGACACAGAAAAAGTCCTTACCCTCATGGAATTTATCTTCTAATAGCAGAAGACAGATAATAAATAAGATTCAGATAATGATAAGGGGTAGAAAGAAAATAGCATAGGATAAAGTTGTAGGTTTTTCTTCAGCTATGGTGTCAAAATACCCATTTCAGAGACCCAAGTAGATTGTTAAAAGCCTTAAGTTGTTTCCTAGATTCCTCCTATACTCTCACTGTATTGTTTGCCTCTCTTACAGCATTTATCAAAAGCTGATTTCTATTATAGTGCAAGCCAATGTTTGGGTTAGGCCAAGAAATGACACATCCTCCTCCCACAACCTTCCCAATGATATCTACATCTATCCCCTGGGACAGGTGAATGTTTCCCTGTTTGAAAAAGTGTTTTTGCAGATGTGACTAAGTTAAAGATCCTGCAATAAGGAGATTGCCTTAAATTATCCAAGTGGGCCCTAAATGCCATCACAACTGTCCTTATAAAAGACACACAGAGGAGAAGACATACCCAGAAAACAAACAGGCAGTGTGACCACTGAGGCAGAGATTGGAGAGATGCAGCCACAGGTCAAGGAAGGCCAACAGCTACCAGACGCTGGAAGAGACAAAGAGCAAATTCTCCTCTAAAGCCCCCAAAAGAAGTGCCGCCCTGCTAACACCTTCATTTTGGACTTCTGGTCTCCAGAACTGTGAATTTCTGTTGTTTTAAGCCACCCACTTTGTGGAAATCTGTTACAACAATCACAAGAAACTAATACACCCTTCCAGTGTTATTTCCTATCACTGGATTCATGGCATTTATCTCAAGTTGTAATTACTTGTTTATCCACTTGTCATTGTGTCTCACCCTATTAATATGTAAGTTCCAAGAAGATGGGGGCCTCCTCTATGCCCCAGCTCTTAGCATCGTGTCTAGAATATATTGCATTCCTAAGGATTAGCTGTTAAATGAATAGATATCCCTCCATGAGATAACAAGTTTTATAAGACAGAAACTATGTGTATTAATCATAATTCCTTAAACCCCCAGCAACAGAGCCTTGCCAAAAACTGTTGTTGAACTAGGTCCGAGCTCTAGCAATCGGGAAGCCTGGATTCTGGACATTGTACCTCTATCTTGTCCGCATCTAGTATTCAAGGGAGTGTTCAAGTCAGTTTGTTCCTGGGCTGCTCTTCTTAGTTCTGCTAAGGAGCGAGTCCAGATAGCATTTTTGTACTCTGTTCATGACCCACAGTGCTTGGCACACGGTAGGGACAACACATATTTGAGACTCTTGGGTGAATTAGGATATCAGACTAAGCCATAACGTAGAGCCAACATTGCAGCCTCGAGTAAATTCCTAATCAACTCTGAACCTCAATCTTCTCAACTGGAAGATTGAGAACCTCAATCTTGGCGTCAAGGGGTGTGAACCTGGGAGCTACCTGGCCTGTAGTGACTCCGTGGGTGGTAGCTGATTTTGTTAATAACCCCAGGCCACTCACCTAACTCGACCTTGAGTACAGCCTCAGAAGTGAGTTCCACACTTACAACACTAACTCCACTACTTCCTGGCCCTGTGACCTTGGACAAGCTATTTTACCTTCGGACTAAAGGGTCCCAGGTTTGATTCCGGCCAAAGGCATGTACCTTGGTTGTGGGCACATCCCCAGTGGCAGGTGTGCAGGAGGCAGCTGAATCGATGTTTCTCTCTCATTGATGTTTCTAACTCTCTATCCCTCTCCCTTCCTCTCTGTAAAAAAAATCAATTAAATATATTTTTTTTAAAATTAAGACAAAACTGTGTACCAGTGATTCTTAATCAGGGGCAATGTTGCCTCCAGTGGACACCTGGACACATTTTGGTGTCATAACTTGAGGACGGCTCCTGGTATCTCGCAGGTAGAAGGTAAGGATTCTGCTAACCATCCTACAACACACAGGACAGCCCCACAATGAAGAGTTATCTGGCCAAATACGTCAGTAGCGTCAAGGATGGAAAACCATGCTGTACTCAAAGCTGTACCAGACTAATAGTACAATGTGGGTGGCAATATTTATAAGCCATACGATAAAAAAACAAAACTTAAAATCTCCAGTAGAAATTTTACAGTCATAAGATAAAAAATCCCAAGCAGAGTCTGAGCAAAGGTACTAAAGAAAAAGTAAAGATGACCAGTAAATATATAAAAATATATAAAAATATGATGCACTTATTAATTATCATATAATGCAAATAACCAAAATAAATTGTATTTTACTGATCAGATTACCAATGATTTCAACACATTTGTTGGCCCCAACCAGGTAGTTCAGTTGGTTAGAGCATCGTCCTGATATGCCAAGGTTGTGGGTTTGATTCCTGGTCAAGGCACCGACAAGACTCAACCAGTGGGGTGCAGGGCGGGGGGGCCCGAGGTGGAGCTGACCCGCGGCCGGGAAGACCCTGGCCGAACGGGGGGCCAACCACGAAGCCCTTCCCTGCTGCCGACTGTCAGCCGTCTGGAAGCCCTGAACTCCGTGCCCCCCAAGCCCTGGCCCCCCTGCGGGAATGTTCAAAAATGAGTATCAGGTAACCCCAAACTGTCTCCAACCTGTCGATACAGCTTTCTCCTCTGGGGCGAGGTAGCGCCGGTTGGGATGCGGGCAGAGTTTCCCCCAGCCTCCCATTATCCAGTCTTTTTTCGGGGTAAGAAGAAATTAATGGATGAGCGGTCTTGATCCAAAAAGAAAGCAACTAACGTCTGGACGCAGGATCTGACCCGGTACAGTCTGCAGCGCAGTGCTTCTCACGGTGTATGGAATCCGAGAGATTCTAATTAACATACAGATCTTAGCTCACAAGCCACATGCGGCTCTTTGGCCCCTTGAGTGTGGCTCTTCCTAAGCCTTAGGAGTACCCTAATTAAGTTAATAACAATGTACCTACCTATATAGTTTAAGTTTAAAAAACTTGGCTCTCAAAAGAAATTTCAATCATCGTACTGTTGATATTTGGCTCTGTTGACTAATGAGTTTGCCGACCACTGCTATAGACCAATAGAGATGGCCAACATTACAAATACATATAAAATTTCCATTATTATTTCAGTAATGCTAAGTATTAAGATGCTATGGAAACCTATAAATAGGGGGGCCTGATCAAGTCAGAGAGAGCAAAGAAGGCATCCTTGAGAAAGGGACCCTTGATCTAAACTCTATAGGACAAGTAGGTCTTAACCAAAGAAAGAAGGAAGCAAAAGTAATCCATGCAGAACAGCACAAAGGCTCTACAGTGAAAGCGAACATGTTAGACATGAGGAACTAAACGAAAATTCAATGTGACTGAAATGAAGGGGACTGAATAATGTACAAAGAAACTAGGGAAAGAGAGACAAGCTCTATAATCATGAAAAGGTTAGAAGCAAGAGACTAATATGATTGAATCTGTGTTCTATAAAGATGACTATGACTGCAATAGATTTGAAGAGGGCCGAAGTGGTGTGTGAATTAGGAGGCTATTAAACTAGTTCAGGGAAGAGAAATCATAGGTAAATCAGAATACAGGCATAGATTTCATTGTGCTTCACAAATATTGCATTTTTTACAAATTGAAGGCAAGATCCTCCATAAGCAAGTATCACTTTATTGTGGTGATCTGGAACCAAAACCACCATACCTCCAAGGGATGCCTGTATAAACTACAGTGGAGGAAAGGTAGATCGATTTTTAAAGTATTTAGATAAAATGAATAGGTTTGGGCGACGAATTGTGTACGGGAAGTGTATTAGTTAGCTATTGTTGTGTTAAAAAATTACCTTAAAACTTACCAGCTTACAATGAATATAATTTCTGTGGGTCAGAAATCAGGGTACAATTAGTTGAGTGCCTCTGACTCAGGCACTGATTATCATAAGACTGCAGTCAAGGTGTTGACCAGGGACACAGTCACTTCAAGGCACGGTTAGGAAAGGACTAATGTGGCTGTTGACAGGCCTCAAGTCCTCAAGGAACATTACTTCCATGCTACATGAACCTGTCCAGGGGGCTACTCTCAACACATCAACGTGCTTCCTTCAGAGTGAGGACAGAGAAGGGGAGGGAAATCAGATAAAGTGGGTGAAAGAAGGCAAGCAAGAAAATCAGTCTTAGAAATGACATCTCAGGACTCTTGCCATTTTGTATTCATTAGAAGTGTCACTAGGTCCAGTTCGCATACAGGGGAGATTACAGAGGCATGCAATCCAGAAGATGGAGCTCAATGGAGGCCTTTTTAGAAACTGCCCACCATACAGAGTAAGGAAGAGGAGACACTGTTGTATTAATAAGAATGGGAAGAATGGAAAAGGCCCAGGTCTGGAGAAGTTCTGTATTGGATGGTGAGTTTGAAAGGACACGGTGCCTTTAATTCAATCAACAAATTTGTTATAACATTCCTTCTATGTACCACACATTATTGTAGGAGACGAGATATAATGATGGACACAGAAACTAAGTCCTTACCCTCATGGAATTTATCTTCTAATAGCTGAAGACAGATAATAAATAAGATTCAGATCATGATAAGGGGTAGAAAGAAAATAGCATAGGATAAAGTTGTAGGTTTTTCTTCAGCTATGGTGTCAAAATACCCATTTCAGAGACCCAAGTAGATTGTTAAAAGCCTTAAGTTGTTTCCTAGATTCCTCCTATACTCTCACTGTATTGTTTGCCTCTCTTACAGCATTTATCAAAAGCTGATTTCTATTATAGTGCAAGCCAATGTTTGGGTTAGGCCAAGAAATGACACATCCTCCTCCCACAACCTTCCCAATGATATCTACATCTATCCCCTGGGACAGGTGAATGTTTCCCTGTTTGAAAAAGTGTTTTTGCAGATGTGACTAAGTTAAAGATCCTGCAATAAGGAGATTGCCTTAAATTATCCAAGTGGGCCCTAAATGCCATCACAACTGTCCTTATAAAAGACACACAGAGGAGAAGACATACCCAGAAAACAAACAGGCAGTGTGACCACTGAGGCAGAGATTGGAGAGATGCAGCCACAGGTCAAGGAAGGCCAACAGCTACCAGACGCTGGAAGAGACAAAGAGCAAATTCTCCTCTAAAGCCCCCAAAAGAAGTGCCGCCCTGCTAACACCTTCATTTTGGACTTCTGGTCTCCAGAACTGTGAATTTCTGTTGTTTTAAGCCACCCACTTTGTGGAAATCTGTTACAACAATCACAAGAAACTAATACACCCTTCCAGTGTTATTTCCTATCACTGGATTCATGGCATTTATCTCAAGTTGTAATTACTTGTTTATCCACTTGTCATTGTGTCTCACCCTATTAATATGTAAGTTCCAAGAAGATGGGGGCCTCCTCTATGCCCCAGCTCTTAGCATCGTGTCTAGAATATATTGCATTCCTAAGGATTAGCTGTTAAATGAATAGATATCCCTCCATGAGATAACAAGTTTTATAAGACAGAAACTATGTGTATTAATCATAATTCCTTAAACCCCCAGCAACAGAGCCTTGCCAAAAACTGTTGTTGAACTAGGTCCGAGCTCTAGCAATCGGGAAGCCTGGATTCTGGACATTGTACCTCTATCTTGTCCGCATCTAGTATTCAAGGGAGTGTTCAAGTCAGTTTGTTCCTGGGCTGCTCTTCTTAGTTCTGCTAAGGAGCGAGTCCAGATAGCATTTTTGTACTCTGTTCATGACCCACAGTGCTTGGCACACGGTAGGGACAACACATATTTGAGACTCTTGGGTGAATTAGGATATCAGACTAAGCCATAACGTAGAGCCAACATTGCAGCCTCGAGTAAATTCCTAATCAACTCTGAACCTCAATCTTCTCAACTGGAAGATTGAGAACCTCAATCTTGGCGTCAGGGGGTGTGAACCTGGGAGTTACCTGGCCTGTAGTGGCTCCGTGGGTGGTAGCTGATTTTGTTAATAATCCCAGGCCACTCACCTAACTCGACCTTGAGTACAGCCTCAGAAGTGAGTTCCACACTTACAACACTAACTCCACTACTTCCTGGCCCTGTGACCTTGGACAAACTATTTTACCTTCTGGGCACAGTTCCTTGGCCAAAACTGACAAGAACGTCTATCTTGTAAAAGCAGTTCTGACACAGAAACTAAATGAAGTAACCAAAGAGTGAAACTTAGAAAGCCTGGCTTAATAATGTAATTATTTTGAGGGGAAAAAACAAAAAACCCTTGGCTTTTTAACACGCGCTCATCTGGAATAAATACGCCCACTCCCCGGGGCCTTCTAAAACAATGGAAGGGGCTACCAAACCCTCTTATTGCCTCACGGAATCCCAAGTTTGGGAACCTTCGAACCAAAGGCCACGTGAGGGGGCTCCATGATTCCATGACTCTTTCCTTCAGCAACCTACCAGTTATCAGTGTTTACAACGAGGAGAGACAGAGCCGAGGGGACGGGTTTCCAGAAGAGCCTGGCTGAGTGTCAGCTTTTTCGCAGGCACAGGCCGTGACCTAAGAAGGGCGCACGTCACAGACCTGGCGGTCCACGAAGTCTCAGAGACTCCCTCAGTTGCCTGGGTAACGCTTACGTCACCACGTAGCCTCACGTGCCCGTTGGCTAGAAGCCCATACAGCGCAACGCGCAGGCGCCTGGTGAGAGCCAATGGGCGCGGCCGGAGCGTTGTCGCCGCTCTGCGCCCTCTGATCAGCTAGACTCTGCTTTTGTCCACCTAGTGGGGTCACAGAGGGCACATGCAGAGTAGCCATAGAGATGGAAGCTCTGCCTGGTGGCAAGGGTGAAGGTTCTCTTTGTGGAATTTACAGGGAGGGCTCTTACTTCACAGTGCTGACCTGGCTCCTGCTAGTGCCAAGTGCACAACATGGCAGCACAAGAGACCAACACTAAGCCCCCAATGCAGCACGATCCTGCAAAGGGACCAGCCAGCCACTCACTGGATCGTTGATTTATATTCTACCTGGATGGGCCAGTGATTCAACTTGGCTGGAATTGATACATATTCTGCTACAGATTTGCCCTTTTTGCCCACATTGACCAAAACCATTATCTGAAGGATCTGTATGGATCCTAAAAAGCATTGTCTCCGACCATGGGGCATGCCAGCATGTATATGTCTGTTGTAGACTAATGACTCCTTCCAAAATTATCCATATTGTAATCCTCAGAACTTGGAATATATTATCTTACTAGAGGCCCTGTGCACGAATTCGTGCATGGGTGGGGTCTGGCCCACCCGCCCCACTTGGGGCCAATTAGGCCTGGCTGGCCAGGGGGAGGGGCCATGGGTGGTTGGCCTACTGGCCCTGCCCCCTGGTCGAACTCCCAGTTGAGGGGACAATTTGCATATTAGCCTTTTATTATATAGGATTACATAGGATGTGGCAAAAGAGGCTTTGCAGGTGTAGTTAAGTTGAGGATCTTCAGATGGGGAGAGTATCCTGGATTATCCAGGTGGGACCAATATAATCACAAGAGTTCTTATAAGACGGTGGTTCTCAACCTTGGCTGCACATTAGAATCACCTGGGAATCTTTTTAAAATCCTGATTTCTGGGCCTCATCCTCCGGAAATTCTGTTTCTTTGTTACTAATGTTGTGGCCCTAACCCATAACAAAGAAACAGAATTTCCGGAGGATGAGGCCCAGAAATCAGGATTTTAAAAAGATTCCCAGGTGATTCTAATGTGCAGCCAAGGTTGAGAACCAGTGGCTTAGGGAGTACTTGTAAACACTGCAGGGTTCCTGACCCTCACCCCAGATCTAGTGGATCAGAATCTCTGTAGAGGGGGCCAATGAATTTACCTTTGTAACAACTGTTCTCTCCCTTCCTCCCCCCAGCCCTCCCCTCCAGCTCATGCTGATGCAAGTGGTGCAAAGATAACGGGAGAAACTGATTCTGGGTCTTCCTGTCACCCTGAGGATCCTGGAGCATCTCAATACCTGACCTGCTCTCCTCACTTCACTAGCATCTCCCTTCCTGCATTTCCTTCTCCCTGGTCTCCAGCCCTCCCCTCCCGACCCCTACCAAGGGTCACACTCTATTTACAATCTGTTTTCCATTCTAGTCCTACTGTGTGGTCCCAGTGCCAGAACAGTCCTCCACTGGTCTCCAACTCTTTGTTGCTTCTACCTTTTCAGCAAACACTACCTGCCTTCTTATGAGTGCCCCAAGAGCATTTTGCAGTTTTCTTCTATTCCAATCATTAGAACGATTTTAGAGAGTTTCGCTTAATATAGGTAAAATACATTGTGTTGTGTTTTGTTTTTAAAAAGCATACTACTGTGGGAAACTTGGATAACAGGAGAAAAAGAAATGGGGAGTGGCAGTTTTTTCTATCTCATCAAGGTATAAGGATTTTTCTTAAAATAAATAAGTAAAAGCTGCCTCATTTAAATTTCATAGTGAAATATGACCTGTCTCCAGAAGCTGTAGTAATTCTATCCACACACAGTTTGCACATAAAATGCCTAAGGAAGAAGAAATTAAATGTCTTAAGTGATTATGTGTTAAAACTCAAAACCAAAAATATATAATTGAGAAAGATTAAAAGCTGGAAATTCTTTACAAAAATCATATGCTGCTTATTATTCATACAGTCCATAAAAGAAAAACTATAGTCTTTATTTCATATTCTCAATTTCTTGTAATAAACTCCTCTTCAGAGATAATCATCTTGTTTAATTCCTCTCCTTTATATTTAAAGGACATGGAAATTCAGTAACGTGTGTGATGTTTTTACATAAGCATGTCCTTCCATGTTCTCAGGTGTACAGTAGGGAACACATAGCATATCTATAGGTAAGATTCTCTATTTTTTTTGTACAGATTAAGAAAAAAAATTTTATTTGTTGATTTTTTTTTTATAGAGAGAAGGGGAGAGAGTGAGAGAGAGAAACATCGACTCGTTGCTCAACCCATTCATGCATTCATTGGTTGATTCTTGTGTGTACCCTGATGAAGAATCGAACCCACAACCTTGACATATCTGCACAACACTCTAACCAGCTGAGCTCCTGGCCAGGGGCTTGTACAGATTTTATAAATCTCTAA